GCAATAAATTCCAGTTTAAGATTTATCACACCTGTTAAATTGTTTACTATGGATATCTATGGATTATTTTTGGGCATTATGCCAGGATGCCACAATACTGCGAACAACGTAACAGCTTTACTACTATCTGGTATACTACATTACGCTACCCTAATTTTTTGTGGATAATCATATCATACTTTTGGGATACTAGCCCGTTTTCTAATCAATGGACCGGCCAGCTCCAGGAAATTGCCCGTCGCGCCTGTGGTGCTTCCGTTGCATCGGGGTCGCGAAAGCTGCACACGTCCATCAGCAATCCCAGCCTGGGGATTGCGAGGCAAAACAAGAGAAATCATCGACAACATAAGGGGGGGTTCCGCAAATGGGGCTACCACAAAATGGATGGTTTATAATGGAAAATCCATTTAAGGAAACCTCTCTAAAGGAATCTTCTGGTTGATACCTTGATTTGGTGTAGGTTATGGACAAGGTATGGCTATGTAAATGCGACCCATGGATTCCCTGGCAGTTAGGAATTCCATGTTGAAACGAGTGAGCGAACAAACAAAAAAAGGTGTCCAGAATCGGTGAAAACTACGAATCAAGAAATATCATGAATCATGAGAATAATTGAACATATTAGTCTGAATATGTCTGAATCATTTCACATGTCTGTGAGTGCACATAATTTGAGTATCATTGGATTTGTTCAAGGGAAATTGGCAGGACACCTGCAGTTTTTACTCTTTGATATATTGGCTTCTCGTAGATTTTCCCTTTTATCCAATTCTGGGATGTTGTGATTTGTCATCATGTTCCTATCTAGTTTACTCATCAAAACGGCCATTTTTGGGGGGTAAATCAGTCCTACACGGCTTAGGACAAGTTGGCTTTATGATGTTTTATGGCCCCATAATATTCTTGATGGTCACCACATGTTAAAGTGCCAGCTTAATATATATATATATGTATATTATAAGATAAACTATTATACCTTACAAATAGAACCTACATGATCTCCCAAGCCTCTCTTGTTTATCATAGCATCATTCCATGAACAAGTAGGTGCCCCAGTCACTCATCTGAATCTAAGTTGGCAAAAATAATTCCAAAACCCGTTGGGGTTATAGTCTTTAGATATACTTGTACCACGATATACCATGATACATCGAACTCGGTGTTGTGAGCCAACCATAATCATAATACCTGAGCCACCAAAAACACCCCCATCCCATCCCATTTTGGTAAATGGCTATCAGGTTTTAACTGTAAATTCGGTCAGCATCCCCACATTTATTGGGGTAGTATGTCATCCCATTTCATAGCTAATCATCCGTCATTCATCAATTATATCCCCATATCGTTGATAGCTAAACCCCAATATGAGTTGATGGAACAATCCAACATCAGTTCACCCCAATCAAGGTAGTTTTTCAGAACATGGATGAACATAGCATATATTATATCAGCTATCACTTAATAGGTCCCTCAATTATTATTGCTTCATTGCCCAGTCAACTGAGCTAGATTTGGTGATAGATGTGCAGAACCAACTATGTGTAGATTATCATTTGCCGAGCGCGAAACCATGGTTGTTTTCCACGTCTCCCCACTAAATCCCGTTGAATCGCATTAAAGTCTTATTCAAATACGATGAAATCCCTTTAACAATCGCAGTAAAATCCAATTAACTTTCACTAAATCTTAAAAGTACCATGAAATCCCATTAAAATCCCATCCATATCCATCAAAATCCCATTTAATATCTCCTTAAATTCCCTTAAAGGCCTCCTCAAATCCCCTTAGAAGTCCCATTAAAATCCCCAGTAAAACCCTTAAAAAATCCCATCATTGGCTCCCACCCAGGGATATCCCCACAACGACCTGGGCTCTCAAACTGCCAGGCCCCTGCTGTTACTCGAGCTGAGGACACCTCCAGCTCTAGCTCTGTGCGTGGCGGCCGCGACACAGCCTCGGACATGAGCCACATGGCTGTAAAGTGGATGGCGAAAAAAAGTGGAGTTTTGAATAGGTTGTAAATTAGTATAAATTAGTTACTTATTGATTCTTGTTTTGGCCATAACCTAATTTTGAGTCCATTTTGAGGGATTACTGTACTGGCTGAAGCGGCTTATGCATAGATGTTTTACTATGTTTTACTATGTTTTACTATGTTTTACTTTTAGAGTTATTTTTTGGTGGGTTATGAATGGTTTATGCTGGATTTATTGATTTACTATGATGGTTTAAACCACCGTAAATCGGATTGGATGAGAATTTTAAATGATTTTAATGGGTGTTATTTATTCACGATTCTTAGGTTTCAACTGGAAAACGACTACAACTATAATCTGCAAACATGAGGAGATAACCCAACATGATGGTGACTGCTGGCTCATGGTTTGTGATCCAAGCAAGGTGTTTTTACCTCCCATGATCTGTAGATACACAACCAACCAAATATGGACACAACATGAATCAACCATACACAACCAACCAAACAGGTTGGGCCCCAGGACATGACACATGTCCAATATATCCAACCTATTATTGATGTGGCAGGTTCAAGTTTAAGCAGTAATTTTCAATACTTGACTGAAACCTGATGCAAGGCCACAGCGAGCCTGTGTTATGCATGTCAGAGTATGGTAGATTTGGGCGTGTATGACAGATGCTAATAGTCAGTTACGATATGGAGAGATATTCTATGGTATGCTTTAATTTGGAATAGCTTGGCACCCAGTCATGACCAGGTAATGAAGTTCCGTGGGATATCTAACTTACTTCTCAGCCTAGGATTGGTGTGCACAGGTGGACCACTTGTCAAGGTGTATGTAGGCCTCCAACCCTATTTGCATGAACCTGCCACATCTCTGCAAGGCAAGCTTGGAAAACCTTGGAAAACCACATATGTGTGATGATTTTCCTACCAAATGTGGCTGTTGGGATCCAGCAGTTCAGATTCTGTCGACGGTATTTACCACCTATGATGGGGCCCCAGGGACCCCAGCTCACAAGGCACTGGATGTGTCCCCATGTTGTCATTGGGCTGCCATCCCTGAACAGTTAAAATCGACCGAATTAATTTCACCCCTTGAAAGCCTCTCAAGCACTCAAGCATCTACAAGTTCATCCCACAAAAAGGAAGAGCTGAGAATGATACTGGCGAAGCGACATCCTCCCCCTCTATCATGCAACGGGTGTCCATCCCCTTCTGATATGATACCTTCTGGCTACCGCAATGCATAACCACCAGTTTAACTAGAAAAATCATCACCCACATAGTCATATATGATCATATATGGATATTTTTGAGTGGATTGTGGTGGGTTTTCAAGCTATTAGGCAGCTTGGAATAGCAAACCTTAACGACCACATGGTGTCAACCCTTTAGCACCAGCCAAGCAGCACTGTTGGGTGAGAACATCGCCTCTGTCGCAGTGGTTGTGACCAGTGATTTGTGACATCCATCCCAAATTCGGCCGTTTCTGATCTTAAACTATCTTTGTATCTGAAATTCCAAAAATCCATAATATAATATAATATAATATATAATATAAGATAATATAATAATAATAATTAATAATAATAATAATATATATATATATTATACAGTATTTATATTTCCGATGTTGAGGGACTCTTCCTGATCAACATATCAACATTTCTCAAACAGTTGGCTCTCCATGATCCAACCGGAGTGGATCATCCAACTGTGGAGTGGTGGATCAACTGAGGGGACAGCTACACGTTACAATCCATCGTTTCTTCACAAAGAACGCCCCCAAGTCCTCATCATTACACAACTTTTCTCGCAAAAATCCACATGCTTGCTGGCGACATCCTACTTTTGTTGGTAAAATATGGTAAAATTGGCATGTCTTGCTTCCATCCCCCTGTTTGGCCCTGAAGTTCACGATGTTGTTGACGATTTCCCCGTATTTTCATTGTCATGACGCGTCATGACTATATCAATCTGAATTATTTCAGATATTTTGCATAAATTTTCTACTATTTTCATTATTTTCATAGATTTTCTGGAGTGCTTCACTACCCAACGCCCGGTTGATTGGTTTGACCAGACCCATGGCGTCCCAGTAGCCAACTTACCATCCAGTTGGATGGGCGACAGCAGCGGTCGCCCATCAGCCACGACCAGCGCATCGTGCGCCACCATGGACAGGGCCTGGCGCCGTGGCTGACTCGGACCCCCCTATCTTTGGGGAATTTTGGGGATAAAACCCTTCGTTTCGTGTAGATTTTCCTGATGATCCAGGGAAAATCCGTTGAATTCGGTAGTTTCAAACCCACCAAGAAATGAATTGAAATACTCCCATGTAATCCTATGTGCAAAGGCTCAAAATAGAAGATGCTGAAAAAAATTGAAACCATCAGCCCAAAATGGTTCAAAGATCTTCAAGGATGTTTCAAACACCAACAAAGAATACAGTGACAGTGTCATTATCCGACGTCATGAGCAACCCACTGAGGACCTCGACACCAAAGAGGATCCGCTGCGTCGTCACGTTCCCCAGGCCATCAGGCGTGTGGAGCGACACCTGACCGGCATGTAGCACACGTACCGTGCCGAAATTATTTTCAATGAATATATCCTCCGCTAATCAAACATGGCAATGGAAAATGCTCCATTTCCCATCAAAGCGACAGTGGTCCGTTTAGCTAAGGGATTTCCCAGCTAGCCATGTTTGATTACCAGGGGTATGCCTATCAATCTATTATGCGGATGTGTCTGAAAAATCTGGTACCCCGTTCCATCCATTTTTTCATCATCATTTTCCCTATTGATATAGCCATTTGATGCCATTTGGGGGTATGCCCCCTTTTCAGACACACCCAAATAGTTTTGGTGGGTTACATAAGTTATCTCATTATATCCCCATTAAGTCTCAATTACATCTAAATTTTCGTAACTATTTTTAAACTGATTATTGGGACTCAAGTATTCGAACTGATTATTAAACATATTTGAGGACGGTTATATATTGCCCTCCGGTAAATTAACATAGACCCTGGCATTCATCGGGGCTTGAAGATTCGTTTTCAGGGTCGATGTGGCTGGTTTCGTCAAAAACCCAGTAGCCTGGTGAACCCAAACCTAGATTAAAATAGTAAAGTTTGATGTTCATCCAATGCAGTACTTTACCATGTTTACCATGTTTTGACCCATCACTATGTTCATTCACCGGGTATAACTCAATTTCAACTGATGTCCAAGGTGCCGGCGGCACTGCCAGCATGGCTGATCGGCACTGGATGTCCAGATGGCGTTCCGTTCGTTGCTTCGAGGGCTGCAGGGTGAGGTCCAAGACCTGAGATGAGCCGATCAACAAATAGGGATCCCAATATGTTTTAATGGAATACTATGGCATATGAATTGGATATGAATGGCATACGAATTGGATATGAATGGCATATGAATTGGATATAAATGGCATACGAATTGGATATGAATGGCATACGAATTGGATATGAATGGCATACGAATTGGATATGAATGGCATATGAATGGCATATGAATTGGATATGAATGGCATATGAATTGGATATGAATGGCATATGAATTGGATATGAATGGCATACGAATTGGATATGAATGGCATATGAATTGGATATGAATGGCATATGAATTGGATATGAATGGCATATGAATTGGATATGAATGGCATACGAATTGGATATGAATGGCATATGAATTGGATATGAATGGCATATGAATTGGATATGAATGGCATATGAATTGGATATGAATGGCATACGAATTGGATATGCATGGCATATGAATTGGATATGCATGGCATATGAATTGGATATGCATGGCATATGAATTGGATATGAATGGCATATGAATTGGATATGAATGGCATATGAATTGGATATGAATGGCATATGAATTGGATATGAATGGCATATGAATTGGATATGAATGGCATATGAATTGGATATGAATGGCATATGAATTGGATATGAATGGCATATGAATTGGATATGAATGGCATAAGAATTGAATATGAATGGCACAAGAATTGGATATGAACGGCATATGAACTGGATATGAATGGCATATGAATTGGATATGAATGGCATATGAATTGGATATGAATGGCATATGAATTGGATATGAATGGCATATGAATTGGATATGAATGGCATATGAATTGGATATGAATGGCATAAGAATTGGATATGAATGGCACATGAATTGGATATGAACGGCATATGAATTGGATATGAATGGCATACGAATTGGATATGAATGGCATATGAATTGGATATGAATGGCATATGAATTGGATATGAATGGCATATGAATTGGATATGAATGGCATATGAATTGGATATGAATGGCATATGAATTGGATATGAATGGCATACGAATTGGATATGAATGGCATATGAATTGGATATGAATGGCATATGAATTGGATATGAATGGCATATGAATTGGATATGAATGGCATATGAATTGGATATGAATGGCATATGAATTGGATATGAATGGCATATGAATTGGATATGAATGGCATATGAATTGGATATGAATGGCATACGAATTGGATATGAATGGCATATGAATTGGATATGAATGGCATATGAATTGGATATGAATGGCATATGAATTGGATATGAATGGCATATGAATTGGATATGAATGGCATAAGAATTGGATATGAATGGCACATGAATTGGATATGAACGGCATATGAATTGGATATGAATGGCATATGAATTGGATATGAACGGCATATGAATTGGATATGAATGGCATATGAATTGGATATGAATGGCATATGAATTGGATATGAATGGCATATGAATTGGATATGAATGGCATATGAATTGGATATGAATGGCGTATGAATTGGATATGAATGGGCATACGAGTTGGATATGAATTGGCATATGGAATGGGATTGAATGGCATATGAATGGGCTATGAATGGATATTGAATGGATCTGGCATGGATACGATTGGAATAGGAATGCATATGAATTGGATATGAGGGCATACGAATTGGAATGAATGGCATATGATTGGATATGAATGAGCAATAATGATGGATTGATGGAAGGCCATAGAATTGGATATGAATGGCATTACGGAATTGGATATGAATGGCATATGAATTGGATATGAATGGCATATGAATTGGATATGAATGGCATATGAATTGGATATGAATGGCATACGAATTGGATATGAATGGCATAAGAATTGGATATGAATGGCATATGAATTGGATATGAACGGCAAATGAATTGGATATGAATGGCATATGAATTGGATATGAATGGCATACGAATTGGATATGAATGGCATATGAATTGGATATGAATGGCATATGAATAGGATATGAATGGCATATGAATTGGATATGAATGGCATACGAGTTGGATATGAATGGCATATGAATTGGATATGAATGGCATATGAATTGGATATGAATGGCATATGAATTGGATATGAATGGCATACGAATTGGATATGAATGGCATATGAATTGGATATGAATGGCATACATGAATTGGATATGAATGGCATATGAATTGGATATGAATGGCATATGAATTGGATATGAATGGCATATGAATTGGATATGAATGGCATATGAATTGGATATGAATGGCATATGAATTGGATATGAATGGCATATGAATTGGATATGAATGGCATATGAATTGGATATGAATGGCATATGAATTGGATATGAATGGCATATGAATTGGATATATGGATATTGGATATGAATGGCATATGAATTGGATATGAATGGCATATGAATTGGATATGAATGGCATATGAATTGGATATGAATGGCATATGAATTGGATATGAATGGCATATGAATTGGATATGAATGGCATATGAATTGGATATGAATGGCATACGAATTGGATATTAAATGGCATACGAATTGGATATGAATGGCATACGTATTGGATATGAATGGCATATGAATTGGATATGAATGGCATATGAATTGGATATGAATGGCATATGAATTGGATATGAATGGCATATGAATTGGATATGAATGGCATATGAATTGGATATGAATGGCATATGAATTGGATATGAATGGCATATGAATTGGATATGAATGGCATACGAATTGGATATGAATGGCATATGAATTGGATATGAATGGCATATGAATTGGATATGAATGGCATATGAATTGGATATGAATGGACTTTCATGGGATATCGATATAACTCACCATTGACCGACTATTGGGTGGAGAATCAACGAAAATCTCCATGGCCTGGCAGATGTGAACATACCCTGCCCCAAGCCTCGAAGAGCCATGGGACATGTCAGGGGTATGCTCTTGGGGCCTGGAATTTTCTCAGATGTTTGGGATATTTTATATCTACAACCAAACAAAAGCAGAGGGAATTTTATTTACTAATGGAGGTATTTAAACCAATAATGGGCAGATATATATCGTATATATACCGGTGCCATATGGTAACCAAACATGCTGGAATATTCACAAGCTAAAGTCCGATTGTTTTGCCCAGCGATACATCTCCATGTTTAGTTCAGGGATTTCTCAGACATGCTTGATTACGGGAGGGTATTACCCTCTGGTAATCTGTGGCATCGCGAAAGCCCACCATTCTTAACAGGAAAATCATTGAGCTACCCTCAAACCCTACAGGCAGTGGTGTGCGGTCATACTATGACAATGCATTGCAAGTACCTCAATGTGTTTCAATACTAAACTGCTCTGACTTGGATAGTTGTACAAGCTGGTCCACCCTACTATGTTTGTTGGTTGATTATTTGCCCCCATGAACTAGTTTTATCAATACCACATTCTACCACTGGAGTTATAGTTTGCTAGCGAACTCGGGCCCCACCTGGTCCGGGTCTCAACGGTCTGACTTGGATGATTTGGGTGTACTCCCATTCTAAGAAACCCTCACATACTCACTCTCCGGTAAACAAACGTAGCTGCGGTTGTTCAAATTTTACAAAGCTGACCTAGCTACCAGAATAGGCTGCCAGACTAGCATGTTCACCACAGACCCTTAGCTATTGGACAGCATCAACAATAAACAAGTAAGAACAAGTTTGAACAGGAGCCCACTAACATACCTAGGCTATCATTTTACAGCACTCAAGGTTTCCAGCATAGAAGGAGGCCCACTAACATGGCTATCATTTTGTTCTCCACCGCACGTATAACATAGATTTATCAAAAAAGGACGCTGATAACATAGCTATTCATTTTTTTCTGGGATAATACCATTTTACAGCAAAACTAACCTGGAACATACATATGTTTTATATAAGTTTTTTAAGGGACGTTAGTTTACCAGACTGTATATTCCAGAGTGGTTAAACATTATATAAATAGTCTGAAAACTATATCTATAGTTATATTAGTAGAACATTATCTTTAAGAAAAATAGCATAAAATATTAAACAGTAACTTAGTAGTTAATATAGTTTATCACTATTCATATCTATTCATTAGATACGTGTAAATCGTTAATTCACTAGTTGCAGAATCTCCCAGCTCTCCCAGCTTCTCAGATCAACAGTTACAGTTGTGTTGGAGATTGGAGGTATTTGATGGTCTTTGGCCGAAACAAATCGGACAACAAAACAATATATTGGCAAAATCCTCCTGCAAACTCACGTTCTTGGCCAAGAAAAACGGTGTCAAACTTTGGCCGGGGTTCCACATACATGCCCTTGGATCCCTGAGTAGCTACGTAACGAAAGTATCTTGAGGTGACCCCTAACAAACTGACCTTGCTTTTCCATACTGCTGCCGGTTGTGAACCTTGAATCTATATGGATGGCTTGTTCACCAAGCTATTGTTGGGTGAGTCATAGAAGCTGTCAACCCATGATTCAAAGTTCAGACAAGGCACACCAATCTGAAGACGTGTGGTGCTGCTGCTCTTGCGTTCAGCCGGAGGAGGTTCCTCGCGGCAAAGAAATTGATTAATCCGACTGGAAGTGAGCCCCCGGGTGAATTCCGTGTGTGAGGCTTTCACACACTTCAGAGCGCAAGAGAATAGAGTTCCCAGCACAAGTTTGCTACACGGATGGTTCATACAATAGGAAGCCCGAAAATTCTTTGGATGCTGTTGTACTGATCATCGTGTTACAAACACACTAGACGTGATGATAATCAATCTCTGTGGTTCCAAGATGATCAAAGTTCGACGAGCCCCACATCATCCACCATCTCATAGTCTGTTTGAGAAGGAGGAAGCCAGTGGCCAGTGATTGGAGTACCTTGCTTGGAAATCTCAATTTCTAAACCAACAATCTGCAGAGTTTTTTTTTTGTGATCTAAGCCAGTCTTGGGGGACGATGTGGATCTTTCCCATTGGGAAAATAGGCCCCTTGTTATCGAGGCGAATCCAGGAATGTTAAGTCATAATGCCATTCATATTCCATTTAACCATCCGTTTATATTATATAGATTATATAGTAATGTAATGGATGCTCCATTAATTTAGGTTATATATAATCATATATAATCCATTCATACTCCATTGACTTTCATGAATTACCACTAACAATCAGCCACTTAACCAGCCAACCATCCACTAATATAGATTCTTAGATTACCACTGCATGAATTACCATTACAGTACTTACCATTATAATCCATGAATAATCCATTGATTATCCACTTTATAGTACTTAATGGATAATTAATGAATAATCATAACCATTAATAACCATTGATAATCCCATCCATAACCATTAATCATCCATTAATAAATATTAAAACATCACAATCCATGAATGGCAATCAACCAGCTGCGCCTTTGGCACCTCTCCCGGCTCTGCCGGCTCAGCGGGCAAAACACCGCGCTTCATGTCGCGGAAGACGTCGCCTGTGACCAGATGCACGTGCAGCTGCTCGGCGCCAACCTGCCAGGGGTGCTCCAGGTATGGAAAATGGTCCATTTATAGATGATTTACCATGAATTACCATGATTTACCTATAAACAAATGGTAATTTTCCATAGCTATGTTAGTCAACCTGAAGCCTGATGGTATATCATATTTATGTAAGAATATGTTTATAAGAAAGATATAACCACTAGATAACCTCAGTTTAGAATGTCTAGACAACAGTTCATCCACTTCTCACCCAACGCAGACGGTCAAATTTCGCTGGCACAACCCCAGACCCCCAGTGCCTCGATATCACCGTCCAACTGCAGGGTGCAGTTGGTCGCCTTCACATGGTGACGACCCAGCACATTCGCCGCCAGCTGATGACAGCTTAGACGAGGGCCTCCGTGCGAAGAATCGCCGGGAGGGAGGCCACTGGTTTAATTTAACATATGGTATCTGCACAAATATATGATTCATGATTATCAATGGATATAGTATAATTTTTGTGGATGTATCTAGAATAGGGATAGACTTTCCGGTAATCAACCGTGGCTGGCTTTTATATAATAGGACAATCATCTATGGGGAATTTTCCGTTGCCGCGTTTGATTACGGGAGGGTAACTTAAGGAATGCTGCTCATGCAAGGGAATAAGTTCTTTGAGTCAGATTTACCGTAGTTCTAAAGCAGAAACAATATCACAAACTGCTCACAAAATTGATGGATTAGACGATCATAGTAGGGGTAGGTTACATCTCCCAAATTGCGCACTATCTATCATTGTGATTCATTGTGTATATTGATTGTAAAAGTATATTTGCAGAATGTTGATAGACAAACTGCAGCAATACCCGCAGGTGCCGTCTACCAAGGCACCTCTTTGGGGTGAAATCGGGTGAAACCTCTCTGTGTAAAAGCTGGTTGCGTGTAAAAGTGTGCTGTGCGCACAAGTTTCTGTGTGCAATTCGTCTTCCGTGCAAAAGCATCTGTGTATAAAAGCGTCTGTATGTTAAAAAAATGTTATGCATAAAACCTTCTGTGCCTAAGACTTCTGTGCGGAGAACTTTCTGTGTGTAAGAACCGTCTGTCTGTAAAAACAGCTGTGCATTTTTTGTGCATAAAGGCTTGTGCGAAAAACTTTCTGCTGTGTAAAAACTGCTCTGGGTAAAGTTTCTGCGTGCAAAAAAGTCGGTTTGTAAAAACTTCTGTGTGCAGGCTGTGTGTACAAGTTTCTCTGTGTCATTTTTTTATGTGTAGAAAAAACATGTGTAAAAATTGTTCTGTGCAAAGGCTTCTCTGTGAAAAGGTTCTGTGTGTATTGTGTGTAAAAACGCCTATGTGCCTGTATTATGCTCGCAAAAGCATCTTTGTACAAATCATCATCTGTGTGTAAATACTTCCTTCTTTCGTAAAAACCTGTGTGTGTAAAGGCGTCTGTGTACAAAAGTTTTTTTGTGCACAAACCTCTCTGTGTAAGTTGTCTGCGCGCAAAAGCTGCTCTGTGTAAAGGCTTCTGTGCGTAACGTCGTCTGTTTGTAGAAACGTGTCGGTGCAAAATGCGTCACCGCAGCCAAACCGAAAAACAAATGAAACAAAAGAATCCAAGATCAAATGCTTGATGTCGTTACCGTTATTGATGATGGCGATGATGCGCGCAGAGCCCCACAAGGCGTCATTTTGGCTGTCTTAAGCTAATTCTTGAAAGCCTTCGGAACAAAATGAACAAATTACTTTCTTCGAGTGATCCCCATGAAGTGGCACTTTTTTTGACATATTTTCTGGCATGCTATCTGGCATTCGCATTTGATCTCAAATATTTTCTGCAGTTCTTTCTGGCATTCTATCTGGTATATTCTCGGAGACTCTTTGTGGTTGAGGTCTGGCTGGCAACACTCTGATCATAAAGGTCGATGTTGTGTTGTTGTTGTTGTTGTTGTTGTTGTTGTTGCCGCTGTTACCCCGTGCAGCTTTTTTCTCAGTCCCATAGTGGCCGAAAATCGTCAAATAGGTAGTGTTTTCACGTTTTTTTGAAACTCTCGGAGCAAAAAACACCGTAAATACTGATGTTTTTGCGGCTCGGAAGCCCAAAACCACGGTATTTACGATGTGTTTTGCCTCTGGTAACAAAAATCACGGTATTTACAATGTTTTTTGGACCAGGCCTAGCAAAAACATTGGTATTTACGCAGTTTTCAGCATGTTGCAAGAAGTACTTTTCCATGCCAAAGGCACAAACACACTGTAAATTACAGTGTGTTTTGGGTCTGCTCTTAGGGTTCGTGGAGGGGGCGGAGGGGGGGTGGGGGGGTCCTCAAAGCAATCGCCTGAATAATCAGGTACCTGGGCTGGCCAGCCTCCCCTTTACTTTGTAAAGCTATTCTCAAGGTAATAAGGTAGCACCACTGGAGCTACCTTTCGTGACCAAGACTTGGACCAGGTCAAAATAATTTCAGGCTGTTCCTGCAACAGTCACCCTTGGTTGTGTGACGCCTTATTTTTATTTTTTTTTGGCACTTGGCGCCCTGGTGAACCTCCCAAAATTCTTCACAGCTTAGTCCATGTTGAGATGTTTATCTGCGCACATATATGATTAATGATTAATGATTATCAATGGATACATATATATATATACACAGTATGTATATATATATACATACAGAGTATAAATGGTGGGTATATCTATAATATTCTATGGGTCTCCGTTTCTTTCCCATAGCGGTGCCGCCTGCCACGTCGCAGCACACTTCCTTGGCCGACAGCAAGATCTGCTCCTCTTTCGCCAACTTGGGATCATCGATGGGAAAATTGGGGGGTTTCCATGGGGGGAAACCCATAGCGGGATGGTTTATTTCATTTACAATCCCAATCTTTTTAAATGGATGATAAATGGGGTACCCCTATGACTATGGGAACCTCCAAATATGAAACATGAATGAAACTACCAACTTGGTCTCAACTTCTGCTGCAATTCACTTGGGTATGCTAATTTCCATCAACTACGTAGTCCACACAACAATAGTGGAAAATATCACACCTAGTTTTGGATCACAGACTACAGGCAACACTAGCTTTAGGATATCTTATCCATCACAAACCAGCATCATATCCCAAGAAAACATTGCATTTTTTTTTGAGGTCAGGTGGTTGCAGAACTGGTGCTCGGTCCTCCTCACATGGAATCTTCAGAGTCATGGATTTGACTTCCACGATCATCTCCTGATTTCTGAATTGGGAGGGTTGAAACGACGTTGTACATCGTTTTACTGTATATACCGAAATGATATGAAATGATGATGTGGTCTTTTTCATGATTTTTTTTGAAAGACCACGTAATTATTGCTTTCTACTATAGTCTCATGATACTCAGGTCGGACATAGCTCTTTTTCATTGAGGGCTACATTTACATCTGCAATTAAAGTGTGATAATATGGGCTTCAACCTTTTCAGAAAAATCTGAGTCACTGCTTCGTGAAATATCCGTCATAACCATCAATGAGTTTAAGAAAAAAACATAAGGGACATTTTTTTTGTGGCCTGAGATGCAATCGGGACACTGATGGTGCCGGGCTAGGATGCGCTTGGACGTATTAGGAGCTTGGCAAACTTCACCAAAAATGTGGCTTTCCTACCTAGACCTTGTCAACCTCTCTACCTATAGGCGCAGATAGGCGCAGTTGTAGTTCCTTCGATTCAAGAATTTTCTTGGTCTCCTGTCCAACTTTGTGTCTCTTAAACCTGTGGAATCTGGTGATAGTTCACAAAGCAGTGGCAGCCCATCACTGGATCCCTAAATATATAGATCCCCAGCATGTGGGCTCAATCCATGAGGAGGACAGTCCCTACAGCTGGGTACGAAGCATGGAGCAAAACAGTGGCACCCTGGCTTCACACCAAAATAGCAGCTGGCGTAGCTGGATGTTCATTCCTCCAAACAAGGTATCAGTCAGAGGTCTAGAAGCTTGCGCATACGAAGCAATAAGAAGTCAACACTCCTGCGCTTCTGCATTTAGACGATCTCAGCACACATGAGCTTTCTTGGATGAAGATCTTCAAGCTAGTCCTACTAGTAGCTGGAATGTCTCAACCTTCCATGAGATCTGTAAGTATCCGAATTCGAACCCCTGCTTCTCAGATTTATCTTCAGCCGATTCATTTACTTGAGTTTGTCCAATCTAAACTTAAACACTGCAATTTTCATAGATATTCATGGGGAACATGACGATCATCATCGACAATCCATTGGAATTGGGCCGCGGCTGACACTTCACCTGGTTGAGCCATGAAAAATAACCCCATTTCTCATCCGAATTATGGCTTACAATTTCTAAATAAATAATCCCATCTCCCTGATATTATCTGATATTAACCACCCCATTCTATGGTCCCAAATATCTGGTTTCATCCCCTATATCCACCATGCTGGGAAGGGATTTATCCCCAGTCACTTGGAGGGTCATCCCACTTAGCCACTGAGCTTGGTTAGTCCCCAAATCCCCAATTCGTGGCTTATACTTATCCCATAACCGGGGAAACTAACCCCGCAAACACGCACCACTTAAGATTCGTGGGGCGATCCTCTAGTTCGCATAACCTCCAGTCATCAAACATGGCTAGCTGGGAAATCCCCTATATATAAATGGTAATCTTAGTTGGAAAATCATCGAACTACAGTAAATAATTATAATGATCATCACAGATTGCAATTAAAATGGTGCATATAAACCAGCAAGCCAGGTTTGATGACACTGGGGGGTTCTTATCATCAACCATTTCCGGGAAATATCAACAACATATCAACGATATATATATATTAATATATATATATAATAATAACAACAAGAATTAATACATAATGATATAATAAGAATATACAATAGTGATATATAACATAATACAATATAATACAATATAATATAACATAATATCATATTGTATTATAATATATATATATATAATAATAAATATAAAAAACAAACTATATATAATTTATATATACATATAATATTAACCACCAAAGGTTCCCATGCTAACCACCGAAGATTCCTCGGAAGGTGCAGCTTCGTTCCCTGCATCGCTTGCATCGGCTGCATCTGCGTCCCGGGTCACCTCCTGCGACCGAAGGATACCGAAGGCCTGGGGATGACCTGGGGCATTTTTTAATCCAAACACATGATATTTTTATCTAACATTTAAGATATGTATACATTAAATTGGTTAATCCAATTTTTCTATTTTTCAAAATATTTATATAGTTTTAGATATCCGCACTAATGATTAGTATTAATAGTGATAATGTCAATAACAATGACAATGATAGCAATATTATACACAATATTCAAGTAACGCCGGATTTTTGTGGCCACAAGTTATGGCAAGTTATATAAGTTAAACCGTGCTTCAAAGCTCAAAATTCTTTTCCAGCAAGTAAGGTCGAAGGGTACTGCTAAACTGGATACTTCAGACTCATCGCCCTCAACCAGCTCCTGCGGGGCATTGGAAGACTCCGAGAGTAACGCAGCCGCCGCAGCACAGTCCTGGATGGTGACAGTCCCCAAGCCTGTGCGTCAAAATATACTCGGCACCTATGGATCGAAAATGATCGAAATGCCTTATCAGTGCCCTATTTGAGTATTCATCAATTCAGCGGTATTGGGTACTCAATCTTGGCGCGTCCCATAATTCCATCATTTGTCAGACACGAGGTTCTTCAACACCACACATACAGAAAGAAAAGATCTTCGTGAGAGCAACTAAACTCAGAAATGAGTGAAGTCCCAACATTTACGGGCGCAGCGGAATTGCAGAGATTTGGTCCCAATCTGCTTATGACAGACACGTTCTCGGGCCATGGCCCCGATACCTGAAAACAAATCTCGGCTCTTCTTGGCTCATCCTGTTTGACCCGACATTGCCGGACCCTTTTTATCAGGTATCTATATGATTTCGCGATTTCTAGGATCGCAAACGATAACAGTTTACAACAATAGTTGATCCACACCCATGTAATCCAGTCATCATAATTGCTTGAGAACTCCAGCAAACTGAGACAGTGGCCAGAGTCAGGTTTGGTGTCAATAATCCGCCGACCCCGGCCGACGCAAGGGGGAGCGCGTAAGGGAAAAAGAGGTACTGCACTGCTATTACTACTACTACTACTACGACGACGACGACGACTACTACTACGACTACTACTACGACTTGGTGGCTTCTTCGTCCTTCACTGCCATGCTGTAAATTGAAGAGCTAGTTGAAGAGCTAGTTCTCTAGGATTTCAGAAGGGACGTTAGGGAGTTTTTTGGTGCGATTTGGTGGCTTCTTCGTCCTTCACTGCCATGGTGTTTCAGGCTGGCGGGTCCGGGGTTTTGGCGGCTCAGAAGCTGTAAGTTGAAGAGCTAGTTGAAGAGCTAGTTCGCTAGGATTTCAGAAGGGACGTTAGGGAATTTTTTGGTGCGATTTGGTGGCTTCTTCATCCTTCACTGCCATGGTGTTTCAGGCTGGCGGGTCCGGCGTTTTGGCGGCTCAGAAGCTGTAAGTTGAAGAGCTAGTTGAAGAGCTAGTTCTCTAGGATTTCAGAAGGGACGTTAGGGAGTCTTTTGGTGCGATTTGGTGGCTTCTTCGTCCTTCACTGCCATGGTGTTTCAGGCTGGCGGGTCCGGCGTTTTGGCGGCTCAGAAGCTGTAAGTTGAAGAGCTAGTTGAAGAGCTAGTTCTCTAGGATTTCAGAAGGGACGTTAGGGAGTTTTTTGGTGCGATTTGGTGGCTTCTTCGTCCTTCACTGCCATGGTGTTTCAGGCTGGCGGGTCCGGCGTTTTGGCGGCTCAGAAGCTGTAAGTTGAAGAGCTAGTTGAAGAGCTAGTTCTCTAGGATTTCAGAAGGGACGTTAGGGAGTTTTTTGGTGCGATTTGGTGGCTTCTTCGTCCTTCACTGCCATGGTGTTTCAGGCTGGCGGGTCCGACGTTTTGGCGGCTCAGAAGCTGTAAGTTGAAGACGAAGAGGTAGTTGAAGCGCTAGGTCTCTAGGATTTCAGAAGGGACGTTAGGGAGTTTTTTTGGTGCGATTTGGTGGCTTCTTCGTCCTCCACTGCCATGGTGTTTCAGGTTGCCGGGTCCGGCGTTTTAGCGGGTCAGAAGCTGTAAGTTGAAGAGCTAGTTGAAGAGCTAGTTCTCTAGGATTTCAGAAGGGACGTTAGGGAGTTTTTTGGTGCGATTTGGTGACTTCTTCGTCCTTCACTGCCATGGTGTTTCAGGCTGGCGGGTCCGGCGTTTTGGCGGCTCAGAAGACAGGCACGTCAGGGAGCTCAGTGTTTTGGCGGCTCAGAAGGTGTAAGTTGAAGAGCTAGTTGAAGAGCTAGTTGAAGAGCTAGTTCTCTAGGATTTCAGAAGGGACGTTAGGGAGTTTTTTGGTGCGGTTTGGTGGCTTCTTCGTCCTTCACTGCCATGGTGTTTCAGGCTGGCGGGTCCGGCGTTTTGGCGGCTCAGAAGCTGTAAGTTGAAGAGCTAGTTGAAGAGCTAGTTCTGTAGGATGTGAGAAGGGACGTTAGGGAGTTTTTTGGTGCGATTTGGTGGCTTCTTCGTCCTTCACTGCCATGGTGTTTCAGGCTGGCGGGTCCGGCGTTTTGGCGGCTCAGAAGCTGTAAGTTGAAGAGCTAGTTGAAGAGCTAGTTCTGTAGGATGTCAGAAGGGACGTTAGGGAGTTTTTTTGGTGCGATTTGGTGGCTTCTTCGTCCTCCACTGCCATGGTGTTTCAGGCTGGCGGGTCCGGCGTTTTGGCGGGTCAGAAGCTGTAAGTTGAAGAGCTAGTTGAAGAGCTAGTTCTCTAGGATTTCAGAAGGGACGTTAGGGAGTTTTTTGGTGCGATTTGGTGGCTTCTTCGTCCTTCACTGCCATGGTGTTTCAGGCTGGCGGGTCCGGCGTTTTGGCGGCTCAGAAGCTGTAAGTTGAAGAGCTAGTTGAAGAGCTAGTTCTCTAGGATTTCAGAAGGGATGTTAGGGAGTTTTTTGGTGCGATTTGGTGGCTTCTTCGTCCTTCACTGCCATGGTGTTTCAGGCTGGTGGGTCCGGCGTTTTGGCGGCTCAGAAGCTGTAAGTTGAAGAGCTAGTTGAAGAGCTAGTTCGCTAGGATTTCAGAAGCGACGTTAGGGAGGTTTTTGGTGCGATTTGGTGGCCTCTTCGTCCTTCACTGTCATGGTGTTTCAGGCTGGCGGGTCCGGCGTATTGGCGGCTCAGAAGCTGTAAGTTGAAGAGCTAGTTAAAGAGCTAGTTCTCTAGGATTTCAGAAGGGACGTTAGGGGGTTTTTTGATGCGATTTGGTGACTTCTTCGTCCTTCACTGCCATGGTGTTTCAGGCTGGCGGGTCCGGCGTTTTGGCGGGTCAGAAGCTGTAAGTTGAAAAGCTAGTTGAAGAGCTAGTTGTCTAGGATTTCAGAAGGGACGTTAGGGAGTTTTTTGGTGCGATTTGGTGACTTCTTCGTCCTTCACTGCCATGGTGTTTCAGGCTGGCGGGTCCGGCGTTTTGGCGGCTCAGAAGCTGTAAGTTGAAGAGCTAGTTGAAGAGCTAGGTCTCTAGGATTTCAGAAGGGACGTTAGGGAGTTTTTTGGTGCGATTTGGTGGCTTCTTCGTCCTCCACTGCCATGGTGTTTCAGGCTGGCGGGTCCGGCGTATTGGCGGCTCAGAAGCTGTAAAGCTGAAGAGCTAGTTGAAGAGCTAGTTCTCTAGGATTTCAGAAGGGACGTTAAGGAGTTTTTTGGTGCGATTTGGTGACTTCTTCGTTCGTCCTTCACTGCCATGGTGTTTCAGGCTGGCGGGTCCGGCATATTGGCGGCTCAGAAGGCAGGCACGTCAGGGAGCTCAGTGTTTTGGCGGCTCAGAAGCTGTAAGTTGAAGAGCTAGTTGAAGAGCTAGTTCTCTAGGATTTCAGAAGGGACGTTAGGGAGTTTTTTGGTGCGATTTGGTGACTTCTTCGTCCTTCACTGCCATGGTGTTTCAGGCTGGCGGGTCCGGCGTTTTGGCGGCTCAGAAGACAGGCACGTCAGGGAGCTCAGTGTTTTGGCGGCTCAGAAGGTGTAAGTTGAAGAGCTAGTTGAAGAGCTAGTTCTCTAGGATTTCAGAAGGGACGTTCGGGACTTTTTTGGTGCGATTTGGTGGCTTCTTCGTCCTTCACTGCCATGGTGTTTCAGGCCGGCGGGTCCGGCGTTTTGGCGGCTCAGAAGCTGTAAGTTGAAGAGCTAGTTGAAGAGCTAGTTCTCTAGGATGTCAGAAGGGACGTTAGGGAGTTTTTGGGTGCGATTTGGTGGCTTCTTCGTCCTTCACTGCCATGGTGTTTCAGGCTGGCGGGTCCGGCGTTTTGGCGGCTCAGAAGGTGTAAGTTGAAGAGCTATCTTAGTTGAAGAGATAGTTCGCTAGGATTTCAGAAGGGACGTTAGGGAGTTTTTGGGTGCGATTTGGTGGCTTCTTCGTCCTTCACTGTCATGGTGTTTCAGGCTGGCGGGTCCGGCGTTTTGGTTGCTCAGAAGCTGTAAGTTGAAGAGCTAGTTGAAGAGCTAGTTCTCTAGGATTTCAGACGGGACGATTTGGTGGCTTCTTCGTCCTTCACTGCCATGGTGTTTCAGGCTGGCGGGTCCGGCGTATTGGCGGCTCAGAAGCTGTAAGTTGAAGAGCTAGTTAAAGAGCTAGTTCTCTAGGATTTCAGAAGGGACGTTAGGGAGTTTTTTGATGCGATTTGGTGGCTTCTTCGTCCTTCACTGTCATGGTGTTTCAGGCTGGCGGGTCCGGCGTTTTGGCGGCTCAGAAGCTGTAAGCTGAAGAGCTAGTTGAAGAGCTGGTTCTCTAGGATTTCAGAAGGGACGTTAGGGAGTTTTTTGGTGCGATTTGGTAGCTTGCAGAAGCAGTACAAGATGTCGCATATTTTTAATTCAAACATATCAAATATATTTCATAAAAATCTACATATGAAAAAGAAGAAAGCGTGAAAGTGCGAAGCACCGAAGAATATCTATGCCCATTTGGTTTGCTTACTTGACCATTCTTCCGGGGTCGGCGGCAAGGGCGGCAGCCCCTTAATTCGGCTCCGCCGGCTCCCCACGAGTGGCTTGCCCTACGAGCGTCCCAGAGCGACTAGAGCTCTAAGGTGAGGCGCGCCCCCAACCGCCGACCCTCCGACGCCGCGCCCCGAAAAACACCAAAAATCCTTCAGGAGGGTGGGGGAGAGCTTTTTGGCCGGGATCCGGGTCGCTCATCAGCGTCTCCAAGAGCATTCCCCCCCCCCCGTTTTGAGGGTACCTAAAATCGGAAAAAAGCGCCGTTTTGACACATTTTTCGGACGATTTTTCGCTTTTCGAAAGTCACAAAATGCTGTAAATTACAGCATTTTTGCGTTTTAACATCTTTTGCGGGAGCCATGCAAAAACGCAGAAAATGCTGTAAATACCAATACTTTTTGGACCCAAGATGCACAAAACACCGCAAATACCAGTGTCTTTGAAAGCCAAGCAAAAAAACACTGTAAATTACAGCATTTTTGGCGTGTTGATCGCAAAAACTGCTGGTATTCACAGTGTTTTTGCAATTTCAAGAAAACGTGGAAGGCACGAAACACTGTAAATAGCGGTGTTTTGGCCACTTTTGGACGCCCAAACGCTAGTATTTACGCAGTTTTTTGCCCGTGGCGGCGCCAAACCCCTGTAAATTACAGCATTTTCTTCCCTTTCTGAACCGATTTTTTGCCTTGATGAACGGAAAAAACGCTGGTATTTACGCGTTTCCCAAAAAATCGAAGATCGTGACGTGAACGAAACCCTGTAAATAACAGTGTTTTAGCCACTTTGGGGGACTAAAACTGTGGTATTTACGCGG